AAAATAAGGACATTTTAATGTGACCCCAAACTTTTGAACGGTAGTGTATATAAAACTAAATTATTACTAGTATAATTTTTGTTTTTTTTTGTTTTTCTAAAATTCACTTTCTGCTACAAAAATGTAATTTAGAAAATCTATTATTACAGTTAGGCCTAGGAGTGTGATTTTGATCAGGAAGAATCTTATTTTATTGATCTACAAATGGACCAACAGAGAGGGGAGTGCTTTTAATAAATGTAAAAACGGCCTGCCATAGACCACTTCATATAAACTTACGGTAGGTATTGACTGGAGCAACAATCTTCTGCTTCGCCATCTTCCTCTGCTTTGTAGCTGTAGCGCTGCTTCTCTCTCTTAAAAACTCATTCTCATTTTTTTTTTTTTATTTCTTCATTATAATCTCTAGTTCCAGTGAGGTGAAATAGGCTCTTCCTGTTGCCTGTTGTCATGGTGACTCATCGAATCGGTGCTCCAATGATAATGGCTTTCCATACTTGATGCGTACGCGTTTAACTCAGAGTGGACCTGGTTGAAATTGATGGAACTAATTGATAGCAACTTTAGCTTACTTCAATTTAGAGTTACGGATTTGAACCTGGATTTGTTAAACCTCGTTCATGAAACGGACAAAAAGCAACTGCATTGGTTTGAAATGAAGTTAGACCATGTTGGTTTGGAAGAATCCAAATACTAATATTACTGGATTGAGGTTAATTGTATTTTTACACAAAAAGGAAAAGGCATAAAAAATTTCAGTCCAGAACATTTACAATCCAACACAGGACCAGAACATATGACCCATAGTGGCAGGGGACTGTTTGCACCTCAGGCAGTCATCATCGGAAGTATTATATATTTTGGCCAACTTTGCTTTTTGGCAAGTTAGTGTTTTTGATCACCTGCACCCCCCTTACAAATGGAGTCCCCCTTGTCCCTCAGTGAGGTCTAGAAGCACAAGATCTATATCCAGCCATTCAGCATAGATCCTGCTTCATGGCTGTACATCTGATTTTGGCATTTGACCAATTAGATGAGCCCTTGAATGATAGATTACCTACTGGAAATTAAGTTGAAAGATAGATAAGCCACAGAGAAAACATCAACCACTAAGTCATATAAACTGGCTTTATTAAACATTAGTTCTCTGTCAGGAAAATCTGTTTTAATTAGTGACTTAATTATTGACAATAAT